ATGAGTCTCTGTGGCTCCACATTCTAGCCAATGTGTGGTTTCTGACTTCTTCATTCCTACCATCATAGCATGTGTAAAATGATATCTCATTGTGCTCTTAATTTGACTTTTGTTTAAATTCTAATGATGTTGAAATTTTCATGCTTTTTTCTTTTGCCATTCTGTTCCTTCTTCAGTGACATATTCATAATTTTATTTATCTATTAAATTTCTCGTCTTTGCCTTACAGATTTATACTTATTTTTATAAACTAATGCTCTATCGGTAATGTGTGACAAAAATAGCCTCCAAACTTGTGACTTATGTTTTCACTTTCTTTGTGGTGTATTTTAGTAACAGATATTTCTAATTTGAATCCAACTTTTATTTTGCTGTTAGCATATTTTTGTCTTGTTTTAGAATTCTGAGGTATTATCTCCCTCTGTTTTTCTCTTAGAAATTCTAAAATTCTTCCTTTCATACTTAAGTGTATATATATTTATTTATTTATTGTTATGGTGTAGGAAGCAGTTTCATTTGTCTTACTATGGAGAGCCAATTATGCCCTGTATTAGGTAGTTCCTTCTTTCCTTAGTTTATTAGTTTCCTACTGTTGCTGTAACAGTTACCACAAACTTGGTGGCTTAAAGCGACAAATTTGTTATCTTACAGTTATGGTGGTCAGAATTCTGAAATGGTTCTTATGGGCTAAAGTGAAGATGTTGGTAAGCCTGCATTCCTTCCAGAGGCTCTAGAGGAGAATCTGTTCCTTGACTTTTCCAGCCTCTAGAAGCTGCCCTTGTTCTTTGGCTCATGGCCTCCTTCCATCTTCAAAGCCAGCAATTGCGTCACTCCAACCTCTGCCTCTGCTGCTCCTTCTTTCACTTATAAGAACATTCAGCACATCTGGATAATCCAGGATAATATCCTTATATGAGATTCCTAATATAATCACATGTGCAAAGTCCCTTTTCCAGGGTGATATATTTACAGATCCTGGGTATTAGGACATGGACGTCTTTAGGGGACCATCATTCTGTCTCAGTGATCTGTAATGCCCCCTGTATCCTATATCGTTTTAACATAAGCATGAGTCTGTTTCTGGGTTCTGGATTCCACTAGTATATTTTCTGTGCCCCAGGCCTCCATGTTTCCCACTATCATAATTAATATAGCTTTATAATAGATCTTTGTACGTGATAGGAATGGCCCTCAACTTATTCTTCTGCTTTTGGATGTTTTGGCTATTCTTAGACTTTCACCTTTTCATACAAATTTTAGGACCAGTTGGTAAATTGATCCAAATCCTGTTGTGATTGTAATTAGAATTGCATAGAATCCATAGATGTAACTGAAAATACCAGATATCTGTAGAGCATTGAGTCTCTCTGTTCATGAACATCTGTCTCTTTATATCTATTTTATGGTTTCATTAATGCATTTTATATGTTCTCTGTAAAGGTTTTGACAGTACAGAATTAAATTTATTCTTAGAAAATCTGTTTTTTTTTTTTTACTGCTGTCAAAAATGCTCTCTCTTTTTAAGAAAACATTTACTAATTATATGTTGCTGGTTATGCAAAAGCACAATTGATTTTTTATATTGATTTTGTATAAAACATCTTTACTAAACTCTTTCACTAATTCCAAGAATTTTTCTGAAATTATTTTAAGGTTTTTATGTGTATAATTATATAAACTATGAATGATATTTTGTTTCTTACTTTCTGATATTTATAACATTTATGTTACTCAGTGGTTTGAATTTTCAGTGTTTAGTAAAAGATCCAGAATGTGCATCTTTACCTTGTTTTTGGGTATTATTTCACTTTAGTATTGTATTCTTATTAGTTTTGAGTACAAACTATTGGGTTAAGGAAGTTTCCTTCATTTTTTGCATGATGTGAGTTTTCATAATGATTGAATTTGAATTGTATCAAATTATCTTTCTGTTCAAATAAAATAGTAGGCTTTTTTCCTCCATTGTTAATAGGTGAATTACAGTTAGGGGTTATAAATCTTAAACTACCCATGTGCCTATGATAATCACAACTCAATCGTGTGTTTTCTGTATAGACAGCAGGCCTTGGTGATGCGACTATTTTGCTGAGTGGGTTTTGTTTCATGAGTGGATTTGGTCTGTGAATTTCCTTTTCTGATTCGGTTTTGCTGTCAAGGTTATACTAGCCTGCTAAGTGAGTTGGGGGATATTTCCACATTTCTTTCTCTGAATAGTTTGCTGTTGGGAGTTCCTTGGGTGAAATTTGAAACTGGTCCCTGAAGAAGGAGGGCAGGGAAAAACCGAAGAAGGAGGCAGACCACCCCAGATGGGTAGATGGCAGGTTTAAGAAGCAAAGGAACTTATATATGAGGCTTGTCTTGGGCGCTGCGAGATGAGTAATCTCTGCACCTGACTGCCAAAATCTTAAAAGTTTCTATCAAGGCCTTACCGGTGTTCAGTCATGCATACAGTCCAGATGGTCTCAACAAAACCTTATTCTCTCAAGGCTGCATCCTTGAAGTGACTCCTAGTGCTGGAACAGTGGGTAGAATGTAAGTTCCAAGGACTGCGGAGGGTGTGAGGAGCCTCTGATTGCCCAGGTCCAGTTTGCAGGTCAGCCAGCAGTCACATCCTCTCAGTGACCTCCTCCAACATCTGCATAGCTTGCAATGATATATTTTTTTAAAAGTCTAGTGGGAGTCCTTCATAAACCTCCAAGGAGTAGTATTTTTTTATAGGACATTTCATTATGCTATTATTTGTTAAATATTTGTATGAGCTAGTGTGCAGCTTGATGAGTTTTGACAAAATAAACCTGTACTGTCAGCAAAATACAAGACAGTTCTATCATCCCAGGTGATTTCTTCATGTCATTTTCCAGCCAGTCCAACCTCAGCCTTCTGTTCTCAACAGGCAATCACTCTTATGAATGCTAACACCATATATTGTTTTTGCCTCTAGAATTTTGTATTAATACACTCTAACATGCTGTACTCTTTCATATCCGGCTATTTTCACTTAACATAATTGTGTGTAAGATACATCCATGCTGTTATGTCAATCAGTGACTAATTATTTTCTATTTATGTATAAACTTGTTAATCTCTTCTCCTTGGATGGGCATTGGTTCATTTCTAGTTTAATGATTATGAATAAAATGTCATGAACATTTATTGTGTAAATTATTGGACATTCTTGTGTAAGTCACTTTGTGAACATATGCTTTTATTTCTCTTGGTTAAATACTTATGTGTAGAATTGCTGAGTCATAGTGGATCCCCATGTTTAACTTCATAAATAATTGCCCATCTTCTTTCCAAAGTAGTTGTATCCTTTCAAATTGACAATGGTGATTGCCCCAGTAGTGCCACATCCTTGTCAACATTTAGTCTTTTTTTCAGTTTTACCAATCTGATGTGCATTTGTATGTTTAAATATTGACTTGATGGATTTCTTCATAGATTCTAGATACTGGTCATTTTCCACTCATATGCATGGGGAGTTTTTCCTCTCAGTCTGTGACTTGTCTGTTCCATTTCTTAATGGTTTTTGGATCAGAAAAAGTTTCAGTGAGTGTTCTTGGCTTTGTAGTTAAGTAACCATTCCCAGCTTAAGTTTGCAAAGGCATTCTTGTAGTTTCCTTCCTCGAATCTTCATAATTTTACTCTCTTATGTGTTTATATCTGTGATAGATCTCCAAATAAGGTTTGCCTAAATGTGAGATAGGACGTAAACGGGGTGTTTTTGGTGTTCATTTTGTTTTTTTGCATATGAATATCTAATTTTTCCCACATGATTTGTTGAAGACTTTACTTTTCTAATTTTATCACCTTTCGCCTGAAATGTATATGTTATAAACTAATCTTGCTGCAGTAAAATAAAAAGAAAAAAGTTATCACCTTAGTACTTTTGTTGAAAATCAATTGACCATCTAATTGTAGTCTTTCTGAACTTTATAATGTTCCATTTATCTATTTGTCTAAAAGTGCAACTATCCAGACTCCAGTACAATATTGAATAGATGATGAGATCAGACATCCTTGACTTTGTCCGGATTTAGGGGAAAAGCATTTAGTCTTTTACCATTGCGTATGGTGTATTTCTTACTGTGGGACCATGGATTAAAAAAAGAAAAACTCTGATTTCTAAGGCAGTTAATTTATTTACCTTTGTCCTTCATGTGTCCAACATAGTTTTTGGTGCATTCTAAGCCCTTTGTATTTTTAAGTTAATCAGTGAATGATTATCTGAATCGTTTGGTTTGATAGTGTTCCTTTTGGTAGCTGACAACATACTCTGATAACTGCTCTTAGTTCACCTGCTTTTAACCATGTTTCAGAATGAATAAATTGGATAGACACCCCTCGCCCCAGAATTTCTCATTTAGACACATTGTTTGGTATATATTCTCTATCTGTAGTGTTTGAAACTTTTTTGTATGTGTTGGCGTGTTTTATTTGCTGATCCTAAGAACAGCTCTTTTAACATAGACAATGTAAGATTGGAGAATAATTGAATCTCTTTATTCCTAACATGAAATTTGGGATAGAATGTTATGGGCACAGACCATGCTTAACAAGTATGAGTATTAAATTTTATTTTAAAAATCAACTTAAAATATTAACTTTTGCAGTTTTGAAGGTGAATAGACATGTTAAAATCATATTTTATTTCAATATTTTGATTGTGAGGAAAAGCCTTTAGAAATTGTGTAAACCATAGTGCTTATCCCTAATTCTTTCCTAAATAAGTGATTTATTTATTTGATTATATAGGTAAATGATATGTTCAACATATTACTGATTTGGGCATTTCCTTAGGAAGAGGCATCCTTTTTATAATGGATCCTAGGTTAGAGGTCTGAAATGGCATCGCATGTGTGCATGTCTGTGTATGTGAATGGTGTGACTCTCTTCTCCATGGTAAAGTTTGAAAAACTCATGACCCATCAGTTACTCTTGGTGTAAATTATTCCTTTTCTCTGCTTTAAAACAGACATTCTATTGATTTTGTTTCCTAGTTCAATTTTGTGGGGAAATTGCTTGGACCAAGAGGAAACTCCTTGAAGAGGCTACAGGAAGAAACAGGTGCTAAAATGTCTATCCTGGGCAAAGGATCAATGAGAGATAAAGCGAAGGTACTGAACTCTGAATTTGTTGTTTAACACATCCAGGAGGTTACCTGGAGCACTGAGGGCCAAGTTTACACGCCCATCTGAACTGTTCTCCCGTTATTTCCTTTGATTGTCATCTTCTGGGACCACTCTTACACTTTCTGATGTCTCCTTTATTTTCATAGAAATCAATTATTGGTCTTTTTTTCTCCAGAACATTCTTTATTTTTTTTCTTTAGTCCTTTCTGTAGATTGTTGTCAACTCTTCCCACCTTTTCTGTGTCCTCTGTAGGATGTTTCTTTATGTCCGTGTTCATTTTCTGTAATTCCCTGGCTGGATCCCTTTTCCTCCTTCAACTATATCATCTAATCACATCCATTGTGTCATTCTTTCATTTTCTCTCTCTGCTCTTATTTCACTTTGAGCCTCTTATGTGAAGCAATTTCAAATACTTATCTGCAAATCTAGGAGGATTTCACTTATTTTTGAAATGTTTCAGTGCTATTAGGCAACTCACCTGACCCTAGAAGAACAATAAGCTAAGAAATACATCAACTTGGATGTCTGAAATGATTTATTTCACATCTGAATGATATCATTTTCCCATTTTGTAAAGTCATAGCAATTTTATATGTGTTAGAATTCAATGTTTTGGAAAAATAATAACTGTCGAGATTTATTCAAGAAGGATCTTTTCAAATTCATTGGGAAGGGTGGATATGTTATGCTGGTATCATTTGACCAGGCCATTCTTTTCTGATTTCATATGTTGCCATGGAAAATAAAATACTCAAACATGTGTTTCTGACTATAGGAATTACTTACAAAATTGCTTAGGAGTTCTGTATTTGAACTATTAATATGACGTCTTAAATGGATACAGTTAGAGAGAAATGTCACTGAACTGGTGAGTGTTTAATCCACTAAATATTTTGTCTTAATTGTAGTAAATCTATATATGAGTGCTGTTTTAGAATGGATTCGACAGTCAATTCTATAAATTGCAAATGGTATGATTTTTACTACTCTTCTATTTTGGGTAACTTTTGGTTACTCTATACTGTGTATAATTTCAGAAATGACTACCTTCTTGCTAATCTCCTGCCTCCAGTTTTTCTGAGAACATTTAGGACAAAGAATAAAAGTATTTAAGAGGTGGTAACACCAATATCTAGTCATGAGATAAGCTTTTTCCCCTCTGTCACAAACCAGTTTTGATTTTCTGTATATAGGAGGAGAAATTGATATATAATAATCTGTGTCCATGCTTTCATATGTTCTTTAATGTCTTATAGTCTTATAATGTAAACTTCTTATTGTGTGCTTTTATACTTTTACACATTCTTTAAGATTTATATCAGGTATCATCTCCCTCGCAGGGCTTTTCTGAACTTCTGTAATAGGCTAAACTCTCTCTTATCTCTTAACATATTTTATTGAAGTTTGCTGTTTGTCTCATTAAACTGTAAGCTTCCACAGACCAGAGAAATGTCCTCGTCAGCTTTGCACACCCAGAGCCTCTCTGTAGTCTCTCCATGTCTTTAAAGCAGATGGGTATTTTTCATTCTCATATATTTGGGCATTTTTTTCCTGTTCATAAAGTTTTAAATTGGATTCCTTTTTCCCTGTGAGCATGTTAGGTATCAGCATAAGTATTTGAAATCTACTGGGAAGCAAATTTGCTTCTGTTAAGTTTTCATTTGGTTTAATTTACTGATATTACCTGTTACTTAAAACCCTGTTTCTCATTGATTACTTTTTGAGTGAGCCATCATGTTTGTCTATGCTTTGAGCATTTTCATTGTTCCTTTATAAAATGGAAGAAAATGAAAATGTTTAATAACAACAGTGATAATAATGTATTGCACTACAAAATACATTTTTTAGGATCTAGATAAGACCTTAACTGCTGAGTTAAGACACACAGCTGAAATAAAACCACAGACATGGATATGAAAAAATTTACCTTGGTGAACAGTTGATTAAAGTCAAAATAAATTCCTGGTGTGTTATTTACTACTAAGCGGCTATTTTGCCTTTCTGTAACGTGACCTGAATAGGAAGCAAGATTTTATTATAACAAATAAATAAAACTCATCTGATTCTTCAATGGAAGTATATATGTGTGTATGTGTATATACAGCCACGCAAGCACATACTCATGCACAATTGTGGCATTATTTATTGGACACACTATATGTCATTCATAGTTCTAGTTCACAGTAATGAATAGGACAAAAATTTTTCCTCTTCTGGAGTTTACATTCCAATGATAAAGACAGACAATAAAAAGGTGAATAAATAGATTTTGTGCTTTCAGGCATGGATAACTATTATGGATTAAAATAAAACAGAGGAAGGGAAAAGAGGTTAATGGTGGTGGGAACAATAATTTAATACAATGATCATGTAGAACGCTGGATAATAAAAAGGAACCAACCATAGAAAAGCCAGAATCAAGAGAGAATGCCAGGTGTGATGACTCTGAGGGAGGATCTATATCATTCTCTGTAACCATATCTGTGTCTCTAACTATTGTGGTGCTGTAGCCATAGCTTTGTTTATATTTATTCCCGTTTAGCTGTGACCTGATTTCTTTGCTCACCTTTATAGCAAGACCTGCTGAAAATGTTATTTGTGTATTTGGGATCAGTCATTCTCATCCATTCTCTGTTCTCCTCCTGCTCAGTCCTTGTGATTGGATCCTTCCTGTTCCAGAGTCTTCAGACTTCTTTCTTTCCTTCGTGAACTCATACCATCTATGTGCTTCAGAACCCAAAATGTGTATGTCTAGCCCCCAATCTCTCCCTTAGGTTCTAGAGTTACATATTTAACTACCTAATCAACATGTCCATGTGGATGTCTAATAGACATTGAAACTTAATATGTCCAAACACACATAGAAACATATAAATATATGTATATTTGTATGTATGTATGTGTATATACACACTCATATATGTATATGTATATATATGAATGAAATACATATATTATATATTTACATACATAAAAGGTATTACCTACATATGGTATGTGTGTATGGTATGTATGTACCTACATATATAGGTATATACTTATCTATATATGAAGGACATATTAACACATATACAAACAGAGAGAGAGAGAGAATAAACCCAAAGATTGAAAGAGTAAGACAGAGAGGCTGAAAGATTGAGCGAGATTCCTTTGCTGACTTTTAGGGCTTCGGTGACTACAATATGAGCTGTGCAGTCTCCAGATGTAGGGATAGCTTCTCTTTTTGCCTTATGTTTGCTCAGAAGCAAATCTCATTGAAAGAAGAAATGGAAAACAGCCCGTATTCCATTGAAGGGTGCTTGGTAGCTCAAGCCTACAAAGGTTAGTTGTGTTGATTTAAGGTTGATATCAGCAGGCATTAAGGAGATCAGTGCACAACGGCAAGTCTGTTTTGCACATTCTATTCAATGAAAAAATAAATAAACGACTGAAGCATTACTTAGCACTCCTTGTGCACCTGCAGGCAAAGCCTGGGTCAGCAGCCTGCTCTGCGGTCCCGTAGTCAGCCACCTTTGCAGACAAACTTGTTTAATAGCCTGGTTTGCAATTACCGGCTTGCCTCCCCTTTCTAAGAAATAACAGATTGTTTTTCTGTTTTAGGGATGCTGCTAAGGTGCTTCACAATGGACGCCTTAACCTTGATCTTTACCTCATGCTGAAAGGAGATACCTAGATAGTTGTTTAAGTCAGGATAAAATATGAAAATTATTTCTTACACATCTGCTATGTGCTCAACAGTAGATTAAATATTATGCTGTTTAGGAAATAAGAATTAGGCATGATTCAAGCCCTCACAAAGCTTGTAGTTTAATTAAATGTCCTGATCTGTTTAACACTTTTTTTAAAAAAAGTCTACGAAATGACCAATGATTTGAATTAGGAGGTGGAAAGAATGATAAACTCATTTAGTTTTGTTTTTATAGATATGATAAGACTTCTAATCCTTATAAAAGTATTAATTTTTTGTAAGATCATTATAAAATTTACTACGTAATAGAAAAAATAGTTCTAGTGGTCTAGCATAGGAAGAAGATTCTAACAAGTTTAATGTTTTTATTTGTGTTATTTTGTTTTTGATGGTGGTAGGGAAACATCCCTTTCTGTTTAGTTATAACTAGCCAATAACTCTGTAAACAAAGAAAATCAAAGCCAAAACCAAATAAAGTGTAGTAATCCAAGGTAACACCAGTAGCAAAATCCTACCTTATCTTCATGATTTCATGCCTATATTGGTCAGATCCCAAAATATGTAAACTACGTTCTACCTAAAACCATCCAGGAACGCTTGAACAGAAGCTGTCTTCAGCTGTGATGGTAAAAGGTATACGTAGAGAAATCTGGAAGGTAAAATATACGATATGTTTTCAATGTTTCAAAATACATCAGGAAATTAACTGGCAGTTCAGAAATTTCTTTAAAGTCTAAGTCCTTTGTACACCATATGGCCAGTTGGTTCTAAATAACCACACAGCTGCCAGCTTCCCCAGCACTTGGGTCTGAGCAATCTTCAGGGGTAACTTACTGTAGCTTCAGAGGGAGTGTTGCTATTTTTAGAGAAGCTGATGGCAGAGATTATACAAGGCAAGCAGTGGTTCTATGGACCTATCTTTGAAAAGAGTGAGGAATAAACATATTATCTCCAAGAAGAAAGGTTAGAGAGTTTAGAGAAAATCAGACAGGGGGTGAGCACAACCAGATCAGAGAGGAAACAGCTGGAAAGTATGAAGGCACATTTCTTGCCTACCGATCTGTTGTGCTTACATGGAAACCACAAATGGCTATATTGCAAATAAATTGTGTTGCATTGAAAGGCATTTTGGCATTTATATTAGTAAGCTTGGTTGGGATTATGGAACGTGGTCTTAAAACATGCAAGTGATTATAGGTTACAAGTAAAGTGCTGTTTGGTGGAGTTTTATTTGAAAATGTGTGATAAATCTCAAAGCAAGCCTTCTCTCTTTGATGTGCTAATATCAAGTGCAGT